CTGGGCTGGAATGCATCATTCTTCCTGGTACAGTCTCTCATGGCTTCCCTGGCTTGGAGAGAGAAATCTTGGACCCCTTCTGCTTCCTGCAGGAGGCAATTCCCCACTTTGCTTTGGCTTGCTCTTTCTGGGCTGCACCCACTCTCCAACCAGTCCCAATGAGATGAACTGGGTACCTCAGTTGGAAATGCAGAAATCACCCACCTTCTCCATCAATCTTACTGGGAACTGTAAACTGGATCTGTTCCTATTCAGCCATTTTGAAATGTGAGAATTTCCCATAAATTTTTTTTAAAAGAAAAAGGGAAAAATGTGAAAGGAAAATAAATCTTACCTCAAAATTATTGAGCTAAAGAAAAAAGTCAAGCTGGAAAGTGGTTAGGGCAAACCTGCCTTTGATTCTATTCAGAGTCAACCTGTGCTGAAATAAATTTATATCTGACTGCCTCATTTGGAAAGACTAATCAGAAAAATGAATGCAAGTATTTCTCTCTTGTCTACTTATAACTTTGAAGCCTCCTCTCCACTTCAAGTTTTCCCACTCACCTTGAGTTATCACATCATTTCAGACTAAACCAATGTAAATCTTACACACATATTATGTCTTATATCCCCCTAAAATGTATAAAACCAAGCTGTGCCCTTGCCACCTTGGCCACACAAGTCATTTGGACCACCTGGGGATGTGTCACAGGTGTGCATCCTCAACCTTGGCAAAGTAAACTTTCTAAATTAACTGATACCTATCTCAGATTTTGGGGGTTCATAGACTATACTCCCAGGTTATAGTAAGCAAACACCATAGTTCTGATACAGAAATCGTAACACAAAACCAGTGGAACAGGTTAGAGAATGTTGCAGGCTGCACTCTTACAACCATCTGATCTTTGACAAAGTCTATAATTAGAAGCAATGGGGAATGGATTCCCTAGTCAATGAATGGTACTGGGATAACTGGTTAGCTATATTCAGAAGAGTGAAATTGTACAACTTCCTTTCAACATATTAAAAAAATCAGCTTAAGATGGATTAAAGACCTAAATGTGAAACTTAAAACTATAAAAACTGTAGACAAAAGTCCAGAATATAGTATTCTGGACACAGGCTGTAGCAAAGGTTTTAGGATCAAATGTCACATGCTCTCACTTATTTCTTGGATCTAAAAATCTAAACAATTAAATTCATGGATATAGACAGTGGAAGGATGGTTACCATAGGCTGGGAAGGGTAGTGAAAGAGTGAGTGGCATATGGGAATTACTAGTGGATACAGAAAAACAGAAATAATAAAACCCTGGTGACCATAGTCAATAACAAATTAACATTTGCAAATAACATAAACAGTGTAATTGGAAAGTGTTTAACTTAAAGAATTACTGAGGAGATGGATACACCATTCCCTATGATGTGCTTTTTTCATATTGCATGCCTCCGTATCAAAATGTCATGTGTGACATAAATACTATGTACCCACAAAATTAAAAATAAAATATAAAAAATAATCATCTTCTGTGTAGTAAACATTAGAGTTCCAAATATAAGGCTGGAGATCCCCGAGAAACAACATACACTCTTTTGACTTGAAGAATTTTCTCTTTCCTCTATACATAGGTATTTGGAGAAGCTGACATTCTGGAACATTGACTTCCAACACAGCAAGAGGGATAGCCACACATATAAAACACAAGTACAGAGCAGGACTCACCAGTGCATTCTGTTGAAAATGTGAGCAAGCCAAATTAAAATTATTTTTTAAACTAATTAATTTTAGCTACTGAAAGGGCTATAGGACATTATCAGAGTTTCTGTAGGACCTAAGATTTAGAATGTGAACTTGAATGCGATTGTGGTCATTATGGAATAATTGCTGTAAAAACCCAGGTTGGTGTTGCCCACATATGACTACAACACTCAGATGGGGAGAATTAAGTATTTCTTTGACAAGTTCCTCTAAGGGTGGTAGTAAACTTAGTGCCTTTCAGTGTTCTCCTTTTTGCTACAGACTCACAGACAGTGAGAGACACCTGACACCCCCACATCACTTCGTTAGCAGCCAAGATCGGCATCCCCACCCAGAATGAATTCTGGCTGTGGGACAATATGGCATACACAGAGAGATGTTTTGCATTTAGTAATACCTGGGTGAGAGCTTTCTAAGCTCTTATGAAGTGTATGATGCATAAGGTCCATTTCTAAACACTAGAAACATCATGCTGTGAAAGCACACGTCTACAGTTAAGATAATGCCATGCAGAAAAACATGTGGCAATGTAATCACCAGTCTTTACTTTTTCAATGGCCTTGCACATGCCTGTTACTGTACTGCAGAAGTCCAGTATCAATAGTTTATATTTCCTCATTGTGTCATCAGCCCAACACAAAGTGCTGTCAAAATTACACCTGGAGGTGCTAAAAGGAAAATAATCTGAGGAAATGTACACTTTCAGTCTCAAGTTCCAAAGATTGGTCATCAAAAAGTGTGTCTATTTTGGCTGTCACCTTTACTACACTGTAGTGGTCTCAAGTGTGAGGAGTGAACACCGCAGAGTTCTGGTTGCCCTTGTGAGGTTTGCTATCATAAACTTTGTCAAAGGAAGTATGCCTGATTACAGAAATGAATATTGTTCCCTGACCATCAATATAGAACCCTGGGTCATACTTCTCTTTACATTTAATAATAGCTTCTGCTAAATTTATGATGTTCTGTGGGATTGTATCACTTATATCTAACATCTGAAATGTGATGCAAGGCACTTTCACCAAAAAGGCTCTAGTCACAGCAGAGACAACAAATCCTGGATAGATGCATTCCATGTATCCTATTGTTCTGTAAGTGTGAGCTGTCACAGAATAATCATTTTGGTCTTCAAGGCCAAAAGAAGCAGAAAAATACCTCACGGCACTGTTAGGTAAATGTTTCTGGGATCTCTTCAATTAGCTTTTGAATTCTCTACAAGAAGAAAACATGATAAAAGTGCTTGATTTCAATTTTCATTGTATCACCTACTCTCATCTCAGAATGTTGACTTTTCATTTCTGAAATCCTATATATTTAGCTATTTCAAATATGTTGCCTAGAACTATTTGTGGAGGCAATTTACCAGGTTTTAAAGCATCTGAATTGTGACATTTGTTTCCACGTTTTTTAGAAGCAAGTTATGTTTACTATACATGAACACAATCTGTTCTAGTCTTCACAGTATGGAACCATATTTGTCTGTAAAGAACCATACAATTTACACTCCACTGTGCTTTTCTGTAGATGACCTTTACATATGTACCCACTCCCCTCTCCAGATTTTTGCCAATATTTGGTGGGAAACAGCTTTTTCTTCTATCTTTCTGGCTCTTGTGGCCATGACAAATGCCATTTGCAAGAAGCAGTCTGAAGTACTGGACAGATATAATATCCATGCACTACTCTCTAGATATCTTCATTGAGTTCTTGTTGCTACGCCATCCTTTAGCTCATCACAGAATGAAAAAAAATGGCTTTTGCTTGAAAATAATATCAAAATCCAACATCAAAGAGGCATCCAGAAAGTTCATCACTGTTTAAAGTCAATTTACACTTACTAACAACTCCAGAACGCCTCTTCTTTCTGTAACTTAGGAATGTAGTAGACAGCAACCATATTAAAATTCTTTCAAGGCATCCTACAGTGATTATGGAATCACACCTTTCTATCTTGACAGAATAATTTTGAATCATGTATTAAGCCTAACATGACTTGGCAAACTATAAATCCTCATTTGTATACTACTCATTGTCATCTTGTAAAATGACATACTAACTAATTTTGCTGGCAAAAACCGAGAACATTTACATTTTCATCATGCTTAATTTCTGGAAGTTTTCATTTTGTTTTCCCATCCAGTGGCAAAATTTCATGACTCTAAAGCACTTAAACTCTCATCATATCATTTTTGTAAAGAAATAACACAAAGCAGTAAGATTTTTATTTTATTGCATTTTAGGTTTTGGGGTACATGTGAAGAGCATGCAAGATTGTTGCATAGGTACACACGTGGCAGTATGATTTGCTGCCTTCTTCCCATCACCTACATCTGGCATCTCTCCCCTTGCTATCTCTCCCCAACTCCCCACCCCCCACCGTCCCTCCTCTATTTCCCCTCAACTGACCCCAGTGTGTAGTGCTCCCCTCCCTGTGTCCATGTGTTCTCATTGTTCAACACCCGCCTATGAGTGAGAACATGCGGTGTTGATCTTTCACTCTTCTGTCAGTTTGCTGAGAATGATGGTTTCCAGGTTCACCCATGTCCCTACAAAGGATTTTTTAAATCAACTAGCAGGGAGTTTGTAATTTATGTATTAGAACAACCATTTAATTTGTTCTCTTTTATCTGCTGCAATGCTTTCCTAAAAACATTAGAATTGCTTTTTTATGATGTGCTAGTACATGAACCCAGGTAAAGAAAGAAGTCTGAGGCCTCATTTAACATGGGCTTATATTACTTTTCTGGCCATTCAGGAGATCATAAAAACACCATCAAAACTGTAAGTTAAAGTGTGTCAATGAGACAAAAAAGTTACAATTTATTTTCGTTAGAACAAATGTTTTATAATTGTAGTATTTTCAAGAGACAGGGTCATACTGTTGCTCAGGCTGCAGTGAATAGTGTGCGGTGGCTGTTCACTGGCACCATCATTTCACAGTATATCCTTGAACTCCTGGGCTTAAGAGATCTTTCTGCCTCAGCCTCTGGAGTAGCTGGGGCTACAGTTGTGCATTACTGCACCTGGATTTTGTGATTTTCACCCAGTTGTCAACAGTCAAACTCTATATAAGTTTCTTAATAAGTCAACCATAGTTGAACTATTTTCTCCTTACCAACTCTGTAATTGATACTCCTTGTCATTATTGGATTCACTTTGAGATTCCCAGAAATAGACTCATACTATGAGTGAAATCACATGAAGATATTACCCAGGTGATCCTTGGTTGTATTCGTGGAAGAAAGAATTTACACAAAAGACCAATTTGTAAATATAGAAAAGTTTTATTGGGAAAGTACAAATACACTCCAAGAGAGGAGGGGGCTGACCCTGCTGGAAACATCCACATGACATTTTGCATTGTTATCTTCTATTGCCTCAGTTATTTCTTTGCCCAGTTCTCACCAAAGTTTGGGGGATCCTCCCTTACTGTGCTTAATGCATGGGAAAGATTAATCAATATGAATCCTACCTAATGGTGGCACTGAATATTACCACCACCCCAGGAAGGTATAACAGTCAATTTTGTATTCATGGTGGCTGCTCAGCTTTCAGGAATTCCCCTTTGCCTTTTTTCCTTATCATGATCTAGTTAACAACATTCTGACAGTTAGAAGATGGAGTACTGAGCCTCCAAAGAGGTGTTCTGGGGGATTCTTTCCAGCATGGGTACCTCCCCTTGTGCCTGCTCATATCTATCTACTCTTACATTTCTCCCTCAAGTGGTTGGGACCCAGAAATATTTTGGGAGATGGGGCAGAGGTCATTCTTCATAGCTACTTCCTGCTGAAAAGGGGTATCGAGCGTCTTCAGGGTCCCTCCTCCTTACTTGCTGTCATGGTGAGGAGGTTTTGATGATTGTTGTCTCTTAGAAGATTTCACCTGTGCTGTCCAGAGGAGACATACAGGGACTTGGTTGTCCTGGAGGGAAAGAAAGAGGTCGATATCCCCATCACAAGACCATTTGAAGTCTGATGGTTTCTAGGTGGGAGGAAATAAACTGAGAAGATTCAGAGAGCAAGGCTCAAAAAGGAGAAGGAAGATAGAGGCCGGGGGTCCCAGGAAAGGGAAGAGCTCTGAGAATGAAGTCCAGGTGACACCCCAGCAGAGCCAACTCTTAATATCCCTTTACCAAAGATGAGAGGCCTTGTCTATAAGATCTCTAATATGCTCCTAGACCTGTTCTGATCTGTTAAGAGAAAAATACAAGAATTATGTAAGAAATCTGAAAACTAAAGAAAAGAGATACCATAACTAACCTTTGACAAGTAGTTCTCCATTCTGATATTTGAAGACAATGAGCTTGACGTAGGAATCCTTAAGTATTCTCTTGGATTATGTATTCTGTTGAGACCTAAACTGTCATTTAACTTTCCATTGCAAGGTGATTCTAGGACTGGCATCATAGTATATGTGCCAATAAACATCTGGTCTGTTCCTTCACTACAAGTTTGGTAGTAAAATCTGCTAGAATTTCCTTCTGTAAGACTTCAAAAGATAAATGCTGAGTGTTTTTTTTT